TATTTTTGATGTAGATGACGGTTCAGTTGATCCAGCGCCTATTGTTGTGTTCATGAGTTATAAATAAAGTTATCTACATGTCGTTATCTATGGAGTTTATCAGATTTTTTCTGTTAAATTTGAATTTCCACCTTTTTGGCATACTTATGAGGCTAAATCTGAGGTCATGCAGATAGATACGACCGGTGTACGCCACTGTCGGACATTGATTACATTAGAATGTGGGTAGATTCTGAGTCAAGTTGGAAATAGGTCAGTCAATATTTGCAGTTTGGGTCCTGGTTATGCTGATTTGAACCTTGCCATATTTGCAAAAGTTTTAAAAAATTCATTGTTGTTTTCGATGCTGTGGTTAGTACGAGGATTTATGAGCGTGTTCATAGATGACGGGTGACAGTCAGCACTCTTGACATCTGTATACATGGTTATGTATTTTCGGCTGTCCTGAATAACGTAGTATAAAGGGTGCAAGAGCATACTATACAGTTGTAAGTACTGGAACAATTCGAAATAATTAGAAAAGAAAACTGAAAGAAACAGAAGAAAAACTTTTCCTTTTCTGCATGACTATCAAATCATTCGACCATTTTTCCATCCTCCCAGTGTTGTACACTAACCTCTCTCCATCCTCCCTGTGTTGTACACTAACCTCTCTCCATCCTCCCAGTGTTGTACACTAACGTCTCTTCATCCTCCCAGTGTTGTACACTAACCTCTCTCCATCCTCCCAGTGTTGTACACTAACCTCTCTCCATCCTCCCAGTGTTGTACACTAACCTCTCTTCATCCTCCCTGTGTTGTACACTAACCTTTCTCCATCCTCCCAGTGTTGTACACTAACCTCTCTCCATCCTCCCAGTGTTGTACACTAACCTCTCTTCATCCTCCCTGTGTTGTACACTAACCTTTCTCCATCCTCCCAGTGTTGTACACTAACCTCTCTCCATCCTCCCAGTGCTGTGGATAAACCTCTCTCCATCCTCCCAGTGTTGTACACTAACCTTTCTCCATCCTCCCAGTGTTGTACACTAACCTCTCTCCATCTCCCAGTGCTGTGGATAAACCTCTCTCCATCCTCCCAGTGATGTACATAAACCTCTCTCCATCCTCCCAGTGTTGTACATAAACCTCTCTCCATCCTCCCAGTGTTGTACATAAACCTCTCTCCATCCTCCCAGTGTTGTACATAAACCTCTCTCTATCCTCCCAGTGTTGTACATAAACCTCTCTCCATCCTCCCAGTGCTGTGGATAAACCTCCCTCCATCCTCCCAGTGTTGTACATAAACCTCTCTCCATCCTCCCAGTGTTGTACCTACACTTCTCCATCCTCCCAGTGTTGTAAATTTACATAAACTTCTCCATCATCCCAGTGTTGTACATAAACTTCTCCATCCTCCCAGTGTTGTACATAAACCTCTCTCCATCCTCCCAGTGTTGTACATACACCTCTCTCCATCCTCCCTGTGCTGTACCTACACTTCTCCATCCTCCCAGTGCTGTGGATAAACCTCTCTCCATCCTCCCAGTGCTGTGGATAAACCTCCCTCCATCCTCCCAGTGTTGTACATAAACCTCTCTCCATCCTCCCAGTGTTGTACCTACACTTCTCCATCCTCCCAGTGTTGTAAATTTACATAAACTTCTCCATCATCCCAGTGTTGTACATAAACTTCTCCATCCTCCCAGTGTTGTACATAAACCTCTCTCCATCCTCCCAGTGTTGTTGATAAACCTCCCTCCATCCTCCCAGTTTTGTACATAAACCTCCATCCATCCTCCCAGTGTTGTACAAAAACCTCTCTCCATCCTCCCAGTGTTGTACATAAACCTCTCTCCATCCTCCAAGTGCTGTACATAAACTTCTCCATCGTCCCAGTGTTGAACATACACTTCTCTCCATCCTCCCAGTTTTGTACATAAACCTCTCTCCATCCTCCAAGTGCTGTACATAAACTTCTCCATCGTCCCAGTGTTGAACATAAACTTCCCCATCCTCCCAGTGTTGTACATAAACCTCTCTCCATCCTCCCAGTTTTGTACATAAACCTCCATCCATCCTCCCAGTGTTGTACATAAACCTCTCTCCATCCTCCCAGTGCTGTACATAAACCTCTCTCCATCCTCCCAGTGTTGTACCTACACTTCTCCATCCTCCCAGTTTTGTACATAAACCTCTCTCCATCCTCCCAGTGTTGTACATAAACCTCCATCCATCCTCCCAGTGTTGTACATAAACTTCTCCATCCTCCCAGTGTTGTACATACACCTCTCTCCATCCTCCCAGTGTTGTACATACACCTCTCTCCATCCTCCCTGTGCTGTACCTACACTTCTCCATCCTCCCAGTTTTGTACATAAACCTCCATCCATCCTCCCAGTGTTGTACATAAACCTCTCTCCATCCTCCCAGTGCTGTACATAAACCTCTCTCCATCCTCCCAGTGTTGTACCTACACTTCTCCATCCTCCCAGTTTTGTACATAAACCTCCATCCATCCTCCCAGTGTTGTACATAAACTTCTCCATCCTCCCAGTGTTGTACATACACCTCTCTCCATCCTCCCAGTGTTATCCATACACCTCTCTCCATCCTCCCAGTGTTGTACATAAACCTTTGTTTATCCTCCCAGATATATACAGAACAAAAAACGTTGTTTAATTAGCTTGTATATTGTGGACGTTCTGAAGGCATACGAAGGGTTGAGAGCGTGGCTGTTACATACTGAACAAACATCGTTAGGGATCATGAATATTTTTTAGTGTATTTTTTTGTAGTGAAGATTGAACACACAATTTCATAAAATTATGCCCAAAAATATTTATGATCCCTAACTATGTTTGTTCAGTATGTATCAGCCTCTCACTCCGTCCTTCGTTTGCTGCTCAGAACGTCCACAATATACAAGATAATTAATTACAAGTTAAACGCTACAGGTGTGCCGGGGTGTCCTCACTGTGTAGTGGGGTGTATATTGCGACTCCCTCCATGAGAAATCCTGATTGGTGTATTCAAGGGATCATTAAGCCAAAGGTAGCATCCGTAGAACGTTCAAGTCCGTACAATGTGAATTGATAATCGGATGTAACAACGCGCTTACAAAGAGGTGGTGCATATGATCATTGTATTGGTGTAACATTGGTGTTGGGGACTCTAAAGGCAGAGACCATACAGATTTACAGATCTGTTTTAAAAGCAAACCTTGGCTATTTTACCTTAACTTCACAGCAAATGCAATTGGAAAATTATTCACCAGTTCAAACCAGAATGAATATAAATGACAATAACAATGACAATACTGTATTACCCGCAAGAGAATTCTTTGAATAAATGAAGGTGCTAGGAGATTGTATGCATAAAACGACATGACAAACAAAGAGAACTAAAACAGTACAGAACGTTACAATCTTTTATGAGACGTCTCTTTGATTGGGTAAAAGATCTAAGAGTTCTATTTGTTTTAAAACAATAAATATCGCTGTCCAGAAGGTAGAATGGTCGGGGTCGGCTTAAATCGTTCAGTGACAATTTAAACACAATATACATTTCAAAATTTTACTTTAAATGTTATAAATATTCTTTTTAATTAAATACCATGCGTTATTGTAAATCGTGAATATAATTTAAATACATCAGTACTGCTAGAGGACGTGACCATAAGTCCTTAAAGATATTTATTTATTTTAAATCAATGCATTTAATTAAGTTTCAATGAACACACACCAGACATCCATACAAAACACATAAACAAAGGTAGATTTAAAAAAACAAAAGGTATTGAACCTTGAACTGATAGCCTTAGGTATATTTTTAAAATTTGGGCCTTCATCGTACGTAACGTAAGGAACGTCCCCACTATACAAAGGACCAGCTATACAAACGATAGAGGTGTGCCGTGCACAAACATACTCGCTGTGTTGCAGGTTTTTTTTTTATTGCGATGTCTACCTGTGTCGTAATTACTGATAGATTCACTCAATAGATGATAAAACGCGGAATGTTGTATGTGGTGAAAGTGCAGTGCTAATGCATGTTCATTCTGGTGTTGATTGGGGTGTTTCAAAAACAGGCTCATCTAAAAGACAATGTTTTGCTTTAAAAAGCAAAACGAAGTAAATTAAACTATGTAGGCCTATCATTGGACATTTGAAAGATGCTTTATCGAAACATTAACCTTCATTTCATTAAACATTGAAGGTATTCTTAGAACAATCTAAGCGTTTTTTCTTGCAATATTGTACATACAAAAATATTCCTTTGAGAAAATCGTGATTATCATTTCAACAAATACTTTCACGAAATACACGTGTATCAATCCGGCTTTACTTAGATATGTCATTTCTTTTTAAAGAAATATACATCTCAACATCCGTATCGGATACATATCGTACAGTATTTGTATTAACAAGTATTTGGGAGTTTCCTCTTATCAAATATGGGTCGATCTAGGAACAAAACAATAAGGAAATATCTGCAGTTGAATGTGACTTAATATCCCACACAAGCTAGGAATGTTCACACATGATAAACCACAAAAATATATGAACTGTACATGCATATGTAGTCATATAAGATTGCTTTATTTTGTATTCAATATTTGAAGGAACATAAAATCTGTGTAATATCTTATTTTAATCAGTGTGCAAAAAATGCCTATGCCTATGCGTTGAGAAAAACAATGCAGAATATATTTAATAGAATCAGAGACCATATACCGGTATATGGTCTCTGATAGAATACAGTACACATTCAGAACTGATTACCGCATACATTAAACACAATATAAAGTGAAGAAAATTGCTAATACGGAAGAATTAAATGATACTCAAGGATAGGAGATATGGAATGTCTAACAATGCGACTTAAAAACACAGTCTACGGTTATAAATCATTAAATGTATTCACGTTGGATTATTATTTAGCGTTGGTGTGTAAACATTCGCTCGTAGCGACCCTATGACCCTGTGACCTCAAGCTCGGGAACGAGGTCGTTCAAATCTCGTTGAAGTCTCTCGGACTTGCCGCATGACGAGATGTGAAGGAAACCATTAGTAGCAACATTGTGATTATCTGTTTGCGAGTTTGTATGCCCTCAAAACAACACTTTAAGTGAGATCTCTTCATTGGATACATATATTGGGTCAATCTTATGACATCTGTCTGTTACATGGAGTAGTCAGCGGAGCATAAATTACCATTTGGAGAAGTGAAGTGCGCTGTCAAGTGTATCCACGGATTGTCAATTTGCAATGCATCAGCAGAGGCCATGTTCAAAACTTGGAGCGAATCAGCGATTATGAATTAGAAAGTCAGGTTCATATTCACTTACGGGATCGCGGCGATATCGCCTGCGATAGAAAATACCATCATGTCTGCGAAGGTTGCCGATAGAATCGACCCTTTCACCAGTAAGGTGTCTATCAAATCTAAAAAACAGAAACGGTCTCAGGGTTCATCGCATTATCGGACTAAAAATGCCCCTGAGTTGCAGGCTTTACCTCATCTTAAAGGTAAGATTAGTGATAGTCATAAAATTTGTAATGCCGTCCAATGTACACTTTCTATACTTCTCACATGTTGATATGTCTGATTAATTTATGATATTTCAGACCGGTGCCATTGGCATCATGGCCGGTTATAGTCTGTTTCAAACACTACATTACAATAGCATAACTGTTAATAAAACAATTTTGTCGTTGTAATTTCCAATTTTATTGTGTCGTCGTATCAATTTCGTTATGTGTGAGCTAAACTGTGGATAATATTCCCCCTCATAATTATCATCATTATATATTTAGTCAAATGGAACCTTTTTGAAATAGACTTTAAGAAAATGGTTCCAAAATAGCATTCTACGCCATTTTGGCTATGTTAGTATGCAACAAGTACTTTAGAAACATCTTGATGTGACTATAAGAATAATTGTGAATGCTTTGCATGGACTGTTCATAGATAAACAAGTGTAAAGTTTTGAGATAATCTTTCAAAGCATGGCAAATGTGTTTGAATTCAATCAATTCTACATGAATCCTAATTATTTATTACATATTTACATTAAAAACACTATATGCAGGTGTCAGTTTTAATCTATCTCAAATGCCATTGAAGTGTGTTTTATTCTCTTTAATCAGCTTAAGTACAAGTTGGCTATGTGATTAATCGATATGTGCATTATTCACTTACTGTTATGCAATGTCCACAATAAGAATTGCACTTGAGTACCTTTAGACTTTCTTAAGCAGGGATATATTACAATTATGCAGGTATTGAGATATTGTTAAGTAGCTCATCTATAAAGATATTCAAGAGAATTATAATAAGATCTGAATTACATCTGTACTTACATAAAAGTTCTGTGTATTTGATAAGGTGGATACAGGGAGGAAACAAACTGCAAAGGTAATTAGTCAGGGTTCGACACAGTCACTAATCTATGAATCTGCAAATCATAGGTTTGAAATAAACTGGTATAATCAAATGATTGGATACACTCAGGCCTCAGGCTATATTAGGCTCATGAGTACCTGTCCTTGTTCACACTTCAAGGATGTACATTACTACCATGATTTTTTTATATGACGATAATAGACATGGACATTATGTCACTAATCTTTGAAATCACAATTTAAAATCTCTGTTATTACACATGTTCACATGTTACCACAGTTTTATTAATTTCCATTCTATTTTGTGACAAATACATCACTCATTCGCCACCATGCCTTTTTGAATATCCGGCCTTGTAGCATAAGGAGTTCTCACCCTTGTCTTATTCTTAGTACTCAGGAAAACATCCCTTCCTTCTAAAAGTTCATTCATGACACTATTTTGAATTTTGTTTTCTTATTATGAATTAATCATACATGAATTAATCAAAATAAGATTAGGTCTAATGGTCTATGGCATACCAAACTACCATGGGTTTCCAGGTTAGAAGAGGTTCCCAGCACCTACAGTATGCTTGTAGAAGGTGACAAAATGGATGGGGTTTTACTGTCTGTTACTTGGTTGATCTGCCTGGGACATTGTTCATAATAGCAATCACTGGACATTTGGACCAGTCTCTTTGATTTACAGATCGCTATCATATAGCAGTGTGTGGTCTTAAACAACAAATAACTATGTGTTCAGAAGAGGAATTTTCATACATTCTTTCTTTTGAGCTCATGAGTGAGATAAGTTCTGTTGTTAAATTATTGATGAGAGAGACGGAGCTGAAGCATCACTTGCGAAACAAAGTTAGAGTGGTGATTGTGTCCAGAATATATGTCATAATAGAATGGAGATATCGTGCTTGTAAAACCTTGGCAATAGTGACTCCAGAGGTTTCTGGTCAAATCAGAACATTGGCATTTAAACTACTTATGATGTTACATGCAAACTAATATTTACAAGTCTGTTTATATTTATGATATTAATTTTAGAAGTTATTTTGACTTCACATACATATTCAATGACTTTTGAGTCTTCGACTTTTCTTAATATGAACATGATGAAAAGAAATTTCCCCATCAGGTCCAAACCAGACTAGGTAGCCTAAATATGTTTTTGGAGTATACAATACAGTTTTAGAAGTCAAGGGTCTGACCCAAGTTTTGAAAAGATAAAGAATTGGTCTTCAACCCATGCTGTCGCAAGAAGCAAGTAGTCAGACACGTTGACATGATTGATGCGTGTCATTGTTAATGTATCCCATTTGCATAGATCGATGCTCATGATGTGGATAGTTTAACGAATATCATGTCTGTACTGTCTTAACAGCTGATACATGTAATGCAACTACCAGCCATGTGTTTCCAGCCATTATGATTACAATGGGGGTGACTGTGAAGGAGCAGTTTTATCCTTCTTTCTTTATCTTCAAATAGGAACTTAGATAAGCCGTTTGGACTGAACCATTGTGAACTGAACTGGAAACATTTTGTAGGCTCAACAGCCATACTGTGTAGATGAAAACACTACTGCATAGACTAACAGAAGCTTTAATATTGGTTGGTCATATTGAATGATCATCCATCAGAACTTTCAGATTGATCCCCATCACAAGTAATTAGATCTTTTCCTTGATCATGTTGGATTGCAAATGTCTGGGACTAAACCTCTTAGTACACTCAGCTGATAGATCTACATTTGTTTAAGGTGAAATTTGGGACAGTGGTGTAGGTTAGTGGTTCAAGCGTCCACTCGTAGCCCCGAGACCTAGGTTCGAGTTCCCACATTGGCATGATGGGTACAATGTGTGAAGCCCATTCCTAGAATATTGCCCATAGTGGCCAAAACCATACTCACTCACTTAAAGTTACTGTTGAAAATGATACTGGGACTGTATTTTGTATGGGCAATTCTTTTTAGCATGATACAATGTAATATCAAAGATGTCTCGGCCTGTTGCAACCGGTTACTCTTTGATTAGAATTCCTATTCTGTTTAAGAAATGTGCAAGTCGGTAATCATTGTCTTTGTTTAATATCATTAATAATCATTTGCAGTAACATTTCTGAAACTATCAATATTTATATTGTCACAATCTGATGTATTTACAATAAGATTGTTATAAAAAAGGTCCTGAATCCTCAGTTTTTTACAGTATATCAATGACGTAAATCACGTAATATGCTGGTGATATATCACCGATAACCTCATTGCTGTCACACATTCCCCATATTGAATAATAAAACAACAGTTTTTAAAAACATCATCATCGACAATGCTGGTCATAATAATCAAATACTAAGCTAAATTTAAGAATAATAACCAACTACATACTTTGCAAGTCTATAATGCACATATTCATGACCAGTCTTTGTTCTGAGTAAAATAAAGTCTAATTTGTATGCCATGCTCAACAGTCAACTAGTCCAATGAGTGAATTCATGAACATGATGAATGTGAGACAACATTCATTCATTAAAGGGCGGTCGGGTAGCCTAGTGGTTAAAGCGTTCGCTCGTCACGCCGAAGACCCGGGTTCGAGTCCCGACATGGGTACAATGTGTGAAGCCCATTTCTGGTGTCCCCCGCCGTGATATGGCTGGTATATTGCTAAAAGCGGCGTAAAACCATACTCACTCACTCACTCATTCATTAAATGTTGTATGTCATAGTATCCATGGTAACACATATTTCCTAGAATCCAAATGACAAGAATTGATTACGTTCTCACACATCTTGCATGTTCATGCAGAACAGGAAATAATACAGTGAATGTCAGTCAGGAATTATTGCTGTTTGAATGTTGTACCTTGCACAAGATATTTTGAATATTTTGGTATAAATGAAAGGTTACAGTAGGTCAAATAACCAGTTCACGATTTTTGGAACCATAACATCACTAAAGATGTCTGCAGTTCATAACTTTAGAATGTTTCATTAACGAAAACAATTCAAGGTTACATCATCCTGATTTTCAGATCATTATTGCATTCTGTGCCAAAAGCTTTTGAGTCTACCTGCCCAAACTTGGTATCATCATCACAAGGCTGAAAAGGCCTTGAATTTAAGGTCCGTTGTGAAAAGCCTTGATTTTTTTGTGTCAACCTTAAAAGGCCTTGAAAATCACCAAAATATCTTGAGAAGCCTTGAATTTGTACAAACTGACATGTACTTGTATATAAGAGCAGGGTCACCTCTAGGACTTTTCTGACATTGGCCTTTTATCTCAAAATTTCAAATATTCCAGAGGTACACCCACTCTTACCCATATAGCACAACATACAACATTAAAATGCAACATTGTCTTTGGAAGTGTGGGTTTCTTTTTTTTTAAATTTTGGGGGCTAAAAGCACAAGCCTTCTCCCCTCCACTCCTGAATTAAACTGCAAGCATGGTAAGATAATTTAAAAATCTTGACAGATTGTGGAAAATTTGTTATGTTCACACTGCTTTTAGCTCTTACAACTAATATAATAGACAGTATGCTTGATATAATAAAGTAATAACCCAACTTAAGCCTTGAAAAGGACAGTTGATAGCCTTGAATTTTGTTAAAGGCCTTGAATTTTAGTGTTTCATGTCCGTATGAATCTTGTGTTTGTAGATTTAAGTGTCATGATATGGACTTTTTATGAACAAAATTTTGCTTTACTCGGGCTTCAGATTAGTTGTGTATGTTGCAGGCTGTCATTGTTCCCAAAGGTAATGCCATAGTGGGGTATGATATTTGATAATATACCACTAGGGTGGGCAAGAAGTTGAGTGCTCGCAATCATGATTCATGGCCGATGTTCCCAACAGTAACTAGAATTTGTTAATTTTTGTTGACCTCGATATCACTGGTACAGCTGGAAAGATGGCATTAGGCTGTATTTGTTTGTGGTGTCTAACACATCTTATTTATGAAATATCTATCATTTCAGATACTCCACCTGGGGAACAGCAGGACTTGTTCATCAAGAAGCTTCAGCAATGTTGTGTTGTGTTTGACTTTATGGACCCTGTGTCAGATTTGAAGAGTAAGGAAATTAAAAGGGCCTGTCTGAATGAATTAGTGGATTACATCACAGCTACACGCAATGTTCTGACAGAACCTACGTATCCGGAGATTGTTCGAATGGTAGGTATCAAATGAAAGCCTCACTTACTGAGTGGTTCTGTGTTGCTAGATACATCTCTGTATTTTATGCCATTAGATTATTATAACACATCTGCTGGTCATAGTGTAAATGTTTGTGAAAATAGAAAATTAGTCATGCCCTTCCTTGTTGCCTACTAAACAATGATTTGAATACCAGTTGAATAACACAGATATGAGGAATAGGAGCCAACATACAGCAGGTCGGTGGTTCCATCCTCGTGCTTTATCATAGCAAAAAATGTTAACAGATTGTACTTGTTGTTACTCTGCCTGGCACTCGACATCAAGGGGATTATACAAGAACTGGCCATTTCGTAGTCAATATAATCTGTCTGAGTGGGATATCCATGTGTATCTGCAGCATGGTATCTTATTGGAATAACACTATAAAACTGTTGTAAGTCTGGACTGGTACAAGCATGTAAGACTGACGCCTATTCTCTGAAAATAGTTCTGATCACACACACACTTTAGACTAACGCCTATTCTCTGAAAATATATGATTTTGGAAGAAACGAACAACTCCATTTATATTGACAAGGAGCCCTAGTAATATGGGAGATTCAGAACCTGAACCTGAGGAAAATCTAGTTTTGCTTCATTTGGGACTATAGCATTAGCATCAAACTGTTCCATACGTAAAAAGCTATGCATATTGTTATAATGTTAAACTGCCACTAAACTCACACGAAATTGAAGCAGATTGTTCCTAATTGAATAATAGTTTCAGAAACAGTTTCTGCCAATCATAGTATTAAAATTCTATTGGATATTATATTTACTTGATTGCTGATAGGTTTGTGAGAAGATGTGGACGGCTGAGTGCTATTTCCAGCTTTGTTTTCAGGACAAATACACATGATAGTCTTGATCTCTGCATATAAAAAATATCTAGCAAACTTGAAATAAGATTTAAGTAGTAAATCTTCATGTCTCTTGGCTAGCAACCAGTTATCTCCGAGGACCAATTATCGCCAAATCCATGTTATAGTGTGCATGTGATCGCATCTTGTTTTACTTTTGTTCATTTTCATTAGAAGAGAGAAATATTTATCCAAAAATGGTGTACAAAACGGTTTCATGTGAGGAAATATTAAAAAACGCACCATATAATCACATTGCTCAAATACAACTTTACAAAAGACACAGAGGGTGTCCCGTGACTAATTCATGTGTAAACAACAATCCAACAACACGATGATGCACATTCATAGCTTATTGTCTGTCATTTCTTTCCCAAAATATAATTCTAAAACCTATTTGAGCTATTTTTCCAAAAATGCATAACCCTGTATAAATATCGCGAAATGCAAAGTACATAGTGTTGAGGATAAGCATGTGTAAGTCAATTTAGGGTAATATTGGTTTTCGTCAGTTTGCAGATGACAAATTGTTAAAAGCATTTCTTATTAATTGTAATGAATATAAAATTGAGTGCGATATCAGAGAAAATAGAAAATCTAATTTGTATAACTTAAGAAGTGTGCATGATCCAGGGCATGTGCTCTTCAGACAATGGCGATAACTGGTACAGTTGGTCAATGGGAAACTTCTATTTCCCACTGTTTTGATTCCTTATCGTCTCATTATGACAGAAATCTACTGTAACCTTTTCCTCCAACAGAAATACATGCATTTTCTCATAGTTTCCAAAAATCAAAGTTATTGAAACATTCAACTTTGTACACGGAATATTTAAGAAATAACACGCAAAAATGGCAATAACTGGTCGGTGACCAGTGGTGATGTTTTTATCAAAAAGTCACACTTTCATTAACCAAGTTTGTTCTCTTCTGTTTGTTCTTCTGAAGTGTTATTATGTGGTGTTTGACTGCATATTATACTTTAAAAATCTATGTTTTTCTCCAAAATACTGCACATTATCTTGATTATGCTTGGGGGGTGCCCTATATTCAAGAAAATACAGTTTGTAGATGATGAGGGCATTGGTTTGTTCAATGGACTCAACCATATGTAGGGCAACTGAAGCGTGGTACTTAACCTAGGTATTCAGTGGGCTTGAAAGTTTCAGAGAGTTTAGAGAGTGTTCTTATGTACTGTCACTATTCAGGATTGTGAAGATTTCAGGTTAGTTTCTATTGCAGCAAAGTTACTTTCAGTTCAGTCAGTCATTATGAGTCCCCTTCCATAAGTTGTTTGGTTTGTTGTTTTACGCCGCACTCAGCAATATTCCAGCTATATGACGGCGGTCTGTAAATAATAGAGTCTGGACCAGACAATCCAGTGATTGATATCATGAGCATCGATCCAAGCAATTGGGATCGATGACATGCTTCAACCAAGTCAGCGAGCCTGACCACCTGATCCTGTTAGTCGTCTCTTACGACAAGCATAGTCGCCTATTACAGCAAGCATGGGTTGCTGAAGACCTATTCTAACCAAGATCTTCACTGGTTCCCCTTCAATAAGAAGTAAGCGCTGCTTTCGGTCAATGTGTTGCCCTGTGTTCACTTTTCCGAGACAAGTAAAACTCAGGCAGGACTCGTGATATATCCCTGTGTACTGGTTGATTTTTACTTGTCAGCCCTATAGACATTTGTCCACTTCCTTCCACAAGGTTCGTTTAAGACAGCGATGAGTAATTGTCACACTGGATGCAACTATACACACATATACTAATCTCATTCAAATCAGATCTTGGACTCTTATGTGGTATATCGTTCTGGGTGAAGATTGAGGACACCCCCATAGGAGGTCGCGTCAGGTGTACATTCTAATCAGCCAATTACCACACAGGCTTTCAAATTCTCAGTACAATGAACAAAACAGACAGACAAGCGTGTCTGATTTCTATATCTTGAAAAAGAAAATAATTGAGGACATCCGACAGGCAAAAAATAAAATCATGCTATTGTATTATTGTGAATATGTAGTACGCCCGGTCGTTTCTGAACGAAATGGCATCTACATCCAAAAGGCAGTAAGATCAAAGGAAGATGTGTGGTCCATGTGGGTTTTCATTGGTACAAATCGATATTTCTGTACAAATCGATATTTCTGAATGAACGTGGTAAAGAAATGTTGAAGAGAGCTGACATCTGATTGGCTCAAGAACCCATGCATCCTTCATTTAAATTGGGAGGTCATAGTTCACTCAAGGTTCATCCGTCATGACCTTCAATGGAGCTGTCCATAGATCTTGACACAGAGCCGCATTAGAAATTGGCACTTGTCCTATAGTCCTTGCCAAACTGCCCATTAGTTGAGGAATCGTAAGGACTAGTAGAAATGTGCCATTTCTTAGGATTTTGCTGTGTTATCATTATGAGGACTACTAGACCAAAAATGTCAGTTTCTATTGCTGCAGAGAGGTGTTGCATTGTGTGTTCATAGCTTTCAGCCAAGGGAGCCGTGCCAATTTACACTTGTCAGAGGGGTACACAAAGTATCTGATCTAGACTACTAGTTGTTGGACTTTCATTTTGTGGAAGCCTCAGTGGCTGAGTGGGTTAGATCGCCAACTTTGTTTGCTGGCGATTAGTTGCTTCACTGTGCTAGTTGCAGTGTGGGTTTGAATTCCAGATGGGACTAAACCCCCAAAAGTACTTTACTATGAAAGTGTTATCCCCAATATAACATTTGTTACATTGGAGTAAGAGATTTGATATTTTATGAGATTAAATATACATATCCTTAGCTCTGTAGAAGTATCATTTAAAGACTTACTGGAAGGAAATTGTTGTACCGTTTATAGAACTTACTGGAAGGAAATGGTAGTACCATTTATGGAACTTGCTGAAAGTAAATGGTAGTACCATTTATGGAACTTGCTGAAAGTAAATGGTAGTACCATTTATAGAACTTACTGGAAGTAAATGGTAGTACCATTTATGGAACTTGCTGAAAGTAAATAGTAGTACCATTTATGGAACTTATTGTAAGGAAATGGTAGTACCATTTATGGAACTTGCTGAAAGTAAATGGTAGTACCATTTATGGAACTTGCTGGAAGGAAATTGTAGTACCATCTATGGAACTTACTGGAAGGAAATGGTCGTACCATTTATAGAACTTACTGGAAGTAAATGGTAGTGCCATTTATAGAACTTGCTGAAAGTAAATGGTAGTACCATTTATGGAACTTGCTCGAAGGAAATGGTAGTACCATTTATGGAACTTGCTGAAAGGAAATTGTAGTACCATCTATGGAACTTACTGGAAGGAAATGGTCGTACCATTTATAGAACTTACTGGAAGTAAATGGTAGTACCATTTATGGAACTTGCTGAAAGTAAATGGTAGTACCATTTATAGAACTTGCTGAAAGAAAATGGTTATACCATTTATGGAACTTACTGATAGGAAATGGTAGTACCATTTATAGAACTTACTGGAAGGAAATGGTTATACCATCTATAGGACTTACTGGAAGGAAACGGTAGTACCATTTATGGAACTTACTGGAAGGAAATGGTAGTACCATTTATGGAACTTACTGGAAGGAAATGGTAGTACCATTTATGGAACTTACTGGAGGGAAATGGTAGTACCATTTATGGAACTTACTGGAGGGAAATGGTAGTACCATTTATGGAACTTACTGGAAGGAAATGGTTATACCATCTATAGGACTTACTGGAAGGAAATGGTAGTACCATTTATAGAACTTACTTGAAGGAAATGGGTATACCATCTATAGGACTTACTGGAAGGAAATGGTAGTACCATTTATGGAACTTACTGGAAGGAAATGGTTATACTATTTTGTAATTTCCATAATCAGCTTTTATGACTCATTGTTGCATGAAATAACCGTTTGAGTAGACAAAAGCTATCAAGCTCAGCTTTGGAGAGTTGGAACGCCAAACAGCTCGTATTGTAATGTGTACCTCAATACATTTACGCCAGGCCACATGTTCCTCTGCAACATCAGACATTTTCCAATAAATAAACTGAAAAATAATGCAATATCACTTACTACAGCAATAACTTCAGTAAAGGTTTTGTGTTTGTATTGTTTGTAAAGTTTTATTGGCAAATTTGGGTTG